TTCCCGCCTCTAGGCGTATCGGGTAAACGGGAAGAGCACCCATAAATTTGTACAGATCATTCAGCGCCAGGTGGGTAATGTGGTCAGCAAATCCTGGTATCGATTTTAGGCTGGGTCAACCTGCGGCGCCCTATACCACGATAAAAATCCACACAGCCAGCAGTGGGTTTCGATGGCGGTTCGTTGGAATTACGAGTCGGACTCGCAACGCCTAAGCCACGGATGCCGCATGTTTTTTGTTGTTGTTGTTGTTGTTGCCATGAGGTTACCTAATATGCTTGTGTTCGTATGTCGTGTCCGATATTTACTGGCTACATCCCCTAGCTTAAATTTACTCATTTGCCTCCTAGTGAAGTTTGTGGCAAGAAATAAGTAGAGAAAACAGTAAAATAAAGGACCCATTGCCACGCCTTCAGAAGTATAGGGCATATAGGGCTAGACTTATATTTTATGCAGTAATCGGCACTCTGGTTCAAAATGGACTAATATGGTATGAGTGGATACCAAGCATCAGTACACCAACATTGCAGGGTATCACGTAGATATACTATAGGGGATATGCAAGAGTGTGAGGGAATAAAACAGCTGATTGTATGGCTCCAAAAGCGATAGCTACTGGAACACTCGTACTGGACAAGGGAGATACTCTGGTGTCCATAAATGAACGACTGCTGACGAAGACACGAGATGAAATAAAACAACGTGTGTAAGAATGTGTGAACGAAGAATTAAGAGTGGATCCGACAAAGAGGGGCGTAGCAGAGGAAGAGAACAGTTTGCTACCGCAACAGTTGGCATCTACACCTTAAGACATGTTCGACTCGATGTAGAGCATCTACGGGTATGCCCGGTGTGCCATGATGTCAATTTTTAAATCAATAATCAATCTGGCCAACAGATCCTAGGATTTTTCCTGGTACCCTCTTAAGACTGGGTCGACCTGGGGGGAGCCAAGGTCATTTCTGACGAAAAAAAGTCTCTATTCTGATGGTCCCAGTGACAGTTTCATTGTATATTTGTCTTAACCTTGCTCCTTGGCGTCTCCTTTGGTAAGGGAGGGGGAGTTGGGTGGGGGGAGGGGGAGTTGGGGGGGGGGTGGATAGACCCAGTGCGCCCTAACTAGCCTGTAGCAGGTGGTGATTGCTTCGGGGTTTTTCCTTCCAGGTCAGAATCAGTCGCCCTAGAGGCAAAGAAAACAGTCTGCATTGTGAGAAGCCTGATCTGAAAAACAGATGTCAAGCAAAACTAAAGCTCTGGAACTATACCACACTCTAGAAATGGACGAAGTACCGAAACACCCCACCTGAGTTTACAACCAGTGAACGCGAAGAAGAAGAAGAAGAAGAAGAAGAAGAAGAAGAAGAAGAAGAAGAAGAAGAAGAAGAAGAAGAAAAAGAAGAAGAGGATGATGATGAGGATGACGATGAGGAAGAGGAAGAGGAAGAGGAAGAAGAAGAAGAAGAAAAATGAATCTATTACTGTTTTAAATATAATACATATATATATAATTCCTATAGCATCTTTGATTCGTATATGCCCGTGTGTAAGTTAAGCAAAGGAGATGAAGATGCTGAATCCTCAGCAAAACAGAATTTTAACTCCTTAGTCGTTTTACACCTGGAAGCTAGTTCAAGATTTTTTAAAAATCGCTTTCCCGTCGAAAGTTATGGATGTGAGTCACGGGCTGTTACTCAGTCATTTAACATAAAATCTGAGCATTTAAACTTTCATGTATGTGCAACTTTTTAAAAATACAACAGACCTAGAAGAAGAAAAACATCAACATCCTACATGTTCTGAACGACCGCTTCGTGAACGTCAACCCTGCAATAAGGCGAAATTTACTCACAAAATATTATCCTAAAAGGCTCTATGTTATTTATGGCAGTTATTTTCTTCTTCAATATACTGGAAGGCATAGGAAACGCCTAAACATATTATATTACACATCCCTAAACCTAGGATAGATTTATATAAATCCAGTTTGGCGTCCTCCACAGCTCAGTTGTGCAACTGTCTTCCACAACAAATCAAAAATACCACCAGTGCCTATACGTACAATCGCAAACTTCGAATATTATCCGAGCATAGATTATATGCCACCATAGAAGATTTAAAAAATAATCTAGAAATATCGAACCCTTTCCTAGATTTATTACAATTACTACGGTTTACTGTAGTCAGAAATGTGCACATTCAAGTGCTTGCATTAAATATTTTGATGCTATTGATAACGTTTGCCATTTCTTGATGTATGAATGAAATTATTTATAAAAGGAGGGAGACTAGAAGGGCAGAATGTTAGACGGGCCTGCGTGCCCAAGTCTTAACCCTTTGAAAATAAACTTTCTTCGTTCGTTCGTTCGAACATCGAAGAGAACTGGCTCATAAACAGCATTCCCTCTTGAATGCCGAGCTATTTTGACCATGTTAAACGTCACGGTGATATGCAGAGAACGGTGATACGGGTATAGTTTTCGAAAAACGATGCAAGGGGTCAACCTCAGCAATACAAGACATTGCCATTGCCATTGCCAGTTGTCCAAGAAAAATTCCAAACTTGATCCTCTTTCAGCCGCCCGAGGGCCTGCTATATTGAAGAAGGGTCCTTTGCTGTTTTATATGGTTTCCTTTTATTTGTGGTGTGTAGACACACCTGATATTATTGTTGTTTGCTTCCTTGCTGTGCTGCGTTGTTTGCGGTTTTGGGTTCTGGTGTGATCCAGATCTCTTTGCGATTATGTTGAAGGGTACTAGCTGACTGTTGCTGGTGCTTGGTTTGCCTCGTGCTGGTCGCTGTGCTGGTGCCCTGTTGCTGCTTGGTTGCCGATCTAAAAGCCGCCGGAAAAAGCCAAACAAATATCCGTTGCCCCGTCGATGCACAATGTTCCCTTTCAGGACAACCAGGGCCGTCACAATCTGTTGTTGTGATCGGCCCAAATTTTTTTTTTTTTTTTTTGAAGACATTTTGGCTATAAAAGCGCTTGGGGCTGCACAACCAGCCATCTAAAGAATGACTTTCATGCGTGTCGTGACGAAGGTGACGTTCTGCTTCGGACCTGGTGACTAATGAGTAGTAGTCTTAACGCTTCTTTCTTCTTCTTTGTGTTCGGTTTCGTATGCTCAGATCAGACCATCAGATAGGTGGCCTCTATGAACTCGCATGTCAGCTGCAGGTCCTTCATGGTTCCCCATAGCTTGCTCTGCATACTTTGCTCTTGAGGCCAGGTGTCTTTTTTGAAGTTGTATGTAGAGTGGGCAGGTCTGCAGAATGTGTTCAGGTGTTTGTGGTCATATTTGACAGGCACACTGTAGGGACTGTACAATGTTTATTTTATGCATGTGGTAGTTGAGTCTGCAGTGTCTCGTTCGTAGTCGGAAAATTGTTGTATGTTGTTTTCTGTTGAGTTTACTGGTGGGTACTTGTGTATGTTTACTGTTGGTCTCTCCACAATTCCTTGTTATTTGCCCTTGATAAGTGTTCTGATTTCTGGTAACAACAATGGATGGGTGTGTTGTTTATCCTTTGTTCCAATTTTAGCAAGTCTGTCTGCTAACTCATTTCCTGAGTTATTATGTCGCGGTGAGCCGGGTTCCACTGGAGAACGATCTGATTATTTTCTGCGAGTCTGTTCAGCTGGCGGGTAATTCCCTCTCCATGTCGTCTCGTGGATCCCTATGAGTCGCCTGAAGGACTGACATGCAGTCACAAAGAAAAACAATTTTGCTGTTTTTAATTTTTCTACCATCAAGCTCTTTGGCTGAATCAATAACTGCTGCTCTGAAGTTTATTGGGCGTTTTCATGAGGCGCTTGACGTTTCTACTGTGGTCCCTTCTTGCAGCATGACAGATCCAGCTCCTCCATTTTATTTCCGCTCCCTCAAATCATCCATTGGTGTGTACGTGTGACCATTCGGGTTTTGGAGAACAGTTGTAGACATGTTCAAGGGTCTTTGCAGGCAGTACTAGGTCACATCCTTCAGCCTTTCTGTCTATGCCTGGAATTGTTGTTGTGACTGTACAGTTAGGCTGTAGGTCTATACTGTTTGCCTGGATCATTTCCCCTGTTGAAGCATCTTTAGAAAAGATGTCACTTTGTAGTACAATTTTGATAGATGGTGAAAGTTTTGTCCTTTCAGTCAGTTTTTAACTGCTATTCTGTGCATGGAGTTGCTGTTCATGCGTTTACATTTTTATGTTAGGGTGAGCACCTTGTTTTACCTTAAAAGGTGCACACTCTGAAGGCCAGAAGTTGTCTCCAGCTCATGGACTGGTGTGCTTCTCATACCTCCAGTGATGATTCTGAGACCAGTGTTCTGTATTTTATCCAGTTTATGTAGGTTTGCTTTGGCTGCAGTGGAGTAAGCCCACATGCCATACATCAGTTCTGGTCCTACGTATTTTGTGTATACTTGTCGTACAGTGTGGACATCTACGCCCCAGCTTGTTCCAGGAAGTTTCTTTATGAGTCTGAGCCTCAGGATAGCTTTCCTTTGGGTATCTTCAATGTGGAGTCTCCGGGTTAGTCGTTTGTCGAATTTTACTCTTAAATGTGTGAGGTTATCCTCTTTTGAAATGAAGCTGCCTTCTAGGTACAGATCAACTTGTTCTGGCTTTGTGGAAAGAGAGAAGAGAGATGAGACATTTTTTTTTTCTGGTTTCTTGTGACTCACCAAGTCTGTCCATTTCTTAACTGAATTTATAGCTTCCTGCATTTTAGTTGTTCCTATCTGTTCAGCTTGGGTCGATATGGCCAGGTCATCAGCATTTAGGGTCTTGTGAACTGTTTTGGGAGTTCACTGATAAAAAGGATAAACAGGGTAGGAGATATACCCCCTCCCTGAGGGACACCATCTTGTAACCTGACCAGCATGGTCTTGTGTTCTTCCAGTCTGACTCTCGCACATCGTCAGTAAAGAAAGTCTCTAATCCAGGATTAGTCTTAAAGCAGTAGATAAAGTAATTAAATAATGTCTTCAAGACCAGTCAATATGCATACCCCAGCTCCACTGCTAATTCGTGATCGCGCCTGTCTTTGTCTCGCTCCTCCCATATCCTCCATTCTTCTTCTGATGACGTCCTTCTGGTCCTGGATTTGTGAGCGTAACCTTTCGTCCTCATCGGAACAGTGCAGGTTGGGTTGATCTCCCATTTAGTTTTGCATGCACGACGATACTCTGCAAGTTCCTGCCTGCAAAGAGGAAGTCGACGGAGGATTAGATTTACTGCTTTCATTCGGTTCATGTTTTCAATTACGAGTAGAGCAATAGTGGCTTTCATACATACATACATACATACATACATACATACATACATACATACATACATACATACATACATACATACATACATACATACATACATACATACATACATACATACATACACACATACACACATACACACATACACACATACACACATACACACATACACACATACACACATACACACATACACACACACACATACACACACACACACACACAGACACACACAGACACACACAGACACACACAGACACACACAGACACACACAGACAGACACACACACACACACACACACACACACTGTCGCGCGCCCACGTGGGTAAATACACTGAAATAGTGAGGGTGTGGGTTTGAACCTTAACAATGCCCACCCACGTGAGAAACTGGACTATTATCTAAGCTATGTTGATCCTAGACAGTCCTGGATAGCCAAGAAAACAGCGAGTGGCTCGTTCCATGAAATGAAAGTTGCTGTACTTGTATCCACAGGAGTAGGAGAAGGGATAGATAGATATCTGGATAAACCCACTGTGATATAATCCAGGTGCTCAGTTAACCCCTGCGACTGGTCTCCTCTCCTGGCATTACTTAAAAGCCCCCATCAAGTGATTTAAATATTTGTTAGCTGAAGTAAACTAATATGCACAAAGACACTTGAACCTAAGTACACAATTTACTTAACTCTGTGTAACAACATCAAAAAGATTTATTTAATAAATCTGACTAAAATAAAATGAACTTGTTTAGGCTAGTAGAGTTGGGATGATGTTATAGATGACATTAAAGTTGTACATAACTTAGCTCATCAGGACAGTTCTCGGCTTGAGACCCTGCCTATCTTTTCCAGTTTGTCGTCCTCGCTGCTTTCTGCAGGTCGTTACACTCGACGGTCGGCAAATAATGGATGCCTACTAGTCCCTGCCCAATGTGGGAACTGGAGAATGAAGAAACAGGCGCATATTTGTAGTATCTGCTCTAGATGTACACTAAGCATGTATATTATACTAACATCAAGCATGTTTATTTAAATAAAACATTTCATCTCTCCCTCATGCTCACATTCACTCCTGTCCAATTTGGAAGGGCTTATGTCTCACATTCCAACTGTTACATCTTCTGCCTTCCTCTACACGTCCTGTAATGATAGTCAAGTCTTCTACGTCAGGTGCCATCTCTCGTACAGACTCAAAATGACAATCAGTCAGACAGAACCAGTTCTGGAATCTATGCTTGGAACAATCGACGCGCCCAGAATGCTAACAATAATTCTGGGGCGAATCAAATAACAAATCTCGTGGATTTACTCTCCGGGATCAATCTCCGCATTAGCCTTCCGAGAGTTAAACACATTTCAGTGTGTTAGCTGTATGTAATACAGATTCACATTAATCACACGTGAAAAGATTGCCAAAGTTATCTTCACGCTTGTGATTTCAAAAACATGATAGTTCATTAAATTTCAATGGCAACAACAACATTTAGGTTTTACAACATTGAAACACATGTGCCCGAAAAACATTCATGACACTATCAAATAGGAAATAAAGCAATGTGACAGTGCCCTACGAGAATGAAGAAATGTCCGCCTAGGAGTACTACAAAGTGATGAAGACACACACTTGAGCAAAAAGACAGATCTCTATCATAAAATATAGATGTGAACCTAATTTCGATCTTACCTGGAAAAATGAAACCACGATGCCAAAAGTTCTGTCTCAAGCTTAGGTTAAGCCCAACAGATGGCATGTGCTAGACAGGATCTCAATTACCAGACCTAGCGTTCACCACTTTATAACTTTTATCAAGCTCCTCCTACATTACGCCTAAAATCATTCTCATTCAGGGATATCACAGCTCCTCCCCTGTGGGTGTATATTCCCTGTCAGTCAGTGACTGTACAACAAGTTTGAATTCCCACGCTAAGATCTCCTGGTCAATTCATCTGACCAGAGCAAATAAGACAAGTCACATCTCTAGTCTACTTCACCTGTCATCACAATAAAATCCGACTTTGTCAATTCTTCTGCCAACACTTTCCGCTCACTGTGTCAATAGTGACCGTCGGACCTGCCGTCGAGTTAGGTAACCTCAGGGGGAATTAAACACAATTAGCCGGAGTTAGCTGCTCCTAAAAGTCTGGCTAGGAGATAAAATATCTAACACCAACAGATGGTGTGCAAATCTCCAGTCAGTAAGTCTGCTTGGTCAGTCTTATCTCTGTACCTCAACACTTAACATCTGGGAAAAAGTTGTAGTGTTTGATATGACCAACGGTCCAGGAGAATTAAAGGTGTGATGTGGTCGTCTTACTAAGATTAAGGATGTATCCAAATCCCTATTTGTCTGTATACTTCAAAATACATACAAATAAAAGTAGGTTGAGGAAAGTCATTCTGAAGTCACCGCGCGTATTGTCACACACACACACACACACACACACGCACACGCACACGCGCACGCGCGCGCGCGCGCGCAAACGCACGTATTCACACACACACGCAAACGCACGTATTCACACACACACACACACACACACAAACGCACGTATTCACACACGCTCGCATACACGCACGCACACCACAAATACATATATAAATAAGGACAGATCCCAAATACCCTCACCAACACACGCTCCATATATTTATATACATAGGGCATCCAAAACGATCCAGCTGACGGCGACCTTACACGCGCCGTCCTTTTTTCTGTGAGCCAAACGGGACTGAATGTTTAACATGGCTGATATAGAACGAACAAGAAAAAGTCTGGTCTTTTGTGATGTAAGGAGAAGTGGGAAAGAGAGGAAAAAATCAGAATACATTCAACTCTTCGTGTTTCTGAGACTTTCAGAAATGTACAGTGCCGGGTAGAATAGCACAGTTTCACAACGTATGACCTTGAAGTCTGTCTATCTACGTCAGCAAAATTACATTGTAAGCTTTGGTCATGTTCCGATTCGACTGCGTGCTTCCACTTCCGGGTCACGCTGTGAGTTAACCATGTCGGTAAGCCCTGAGTGGATTTATCCCTTTTACAATCGTGTCTTGTCGATAATGTCTGTCTGGGAAGGAGACAGGACACAAATGAAAATGGGAGAGGCTGCCCCCCCCCCCCCCCCCCAGAAGGGGAGGGGGGAGAGTAATTCTAAAACATTCTTAGGCACGTATTAGAAAAAAATTCGGAGAAGAAAAACATAGGACATAAAGAAAAAAAAAGAGAAAATAGACAAAGAATGGGGGGGGGGGGAGAGGGGGGGGGGGCAAACAATTAAAAGGAAGAGGGTGAGAAAGAGGAAGAGAAGAATAAACAAAATATGCAGACACTACAGGTTAACTTTGTAACCAGTTTGTAATGCCCCAGTATACCTGTGCTCTACGGCTACACGGTTGAAAGGAGTTTCTGGGGCTTGTACCTGTTTTATTCTCATCCTTGCCATGTGAACCCTACCGTATTCAATCCTGGAGAAAAAAGAACTGAGAGAAAAGAAAAAAAAGTTGAAGAAGGATAACAAGAAAAAGTGGATGAGGAGGAGGAGATGAATAAGGAGGAGAAACATAACCACTGACGTAGCAGCTTACATGTTGCAGAAGAAAATTAAGATAAATACTTCTGTGATTCAGAGAGCCGCCATGGTCCAGCGGCTAGACGCTCAGCTGCGTATCGGAAAGTCGTGGGTTCGGTTCATCACTAGTTTTGTTTGGACTCAGCTACAAACACAGCGAGTGACTGAATACTGGGCACATCAGAAGGTGAGAAGACAAAGAATCACCAAACAGATACTGAAATAGGAAACAAACATGCTGAGGAAATGATGCATGGGCACAACATGAGGAAGAAGGGAGATGAGGTGAGTTGAGTTTGGTGCCGGAGAGCCTTAGCAATGATACTACAACATCTAGCTTCCAAATAGACGTGGATGTTGAGGGAGATGAGATAAGAAAAGGTATGCTTCGTGCAGAATGGTATGCTTCGCTTCGGAGGCCACGAGTGAAGAGTATTGTCCGCATCTTTTCTATGGGTATGCAGGTGTGTTGAGAAATAAACAGGCGGACAGATTGGCGCGCTCTGCACAAGTTGGTGGAATAATGATGCGAGATAAGACAGACATGGTTGAGACCTTATGGGAGCCCGTGTAGGCAGACATGGCTCTTAGGGGAGCCCGTGTAGGCAGATATGGTTCTTAGGGGAGCCCGTGTAGGCAGACATGGTTCTTAGGGGAGCCTGTGTAGGCAGACATGGTTGAGACCATATGGAAGCCAGTGTAGGCAGACATGGTTGAGACCTTATGGGAGCTCATGTAGGCAAACATGGTTGAGACCATATGGAAGCTCATGTAGACAGACATGGTTCTTAGGGGAGCCCGTGTAAGCAGACATGGTTGAGACCTTATGGGAGCTCATGTAGGCAGACATGGTTCTTAGGGGAGCCCGTGTAGGCAAACATGGTTGAGACCATATGGAAGCCCGTGTAGGCAGACAAGGTTGAGACCATATGGGAGCCCGTGTAGGCAGACATGGTTGAGACCATATGGAAGCCCGTGTAGGCAGACAAGGTTGAGACCATATGGAAGCCCATGTAGGCAAACATGGTTGAGACCATAAGGAAGCTCATGTAGGCAGACATGGTTGAGACCATATGGAAGCTCATGTAGGCAGACATGGTTGAGACCATATGGAAGCTCATGTAGGCAAACATGGTTGAGACCATATGGAAGCTCATGTAGGCAAACATGGTTGAGACCATATGGAAGCTCATGTAGGCAAACATGGTTGAGACCATATGGGAGCTCATGTAGGCAGACATGGTTGAGACCATATGTGTAATGAAATATAGGCAGAAAGAGGTTAAACGAACAAGCATATATTTCAGACCACCACACGGCGTACTAATCCATCACTGTGTGAAATGACAGAAATAGGT